GTAAGTTCTGTGAAAAATGTTAAATTACATTTGCCTAAATTTTGTGGAGACTAAAGCGGTCTGGGATCTCTCCAATATGTTTTGCCAATCAGTGTATTAAATTTGGAAGATAGTTGTTGAAAATTAGACAGCATATTGTTACTATATAAGTCTCCAACAGTTGTACTCCCGATGATCCATTTTTTTAATGTTCCGTCAGCCATGGGATATTGAATGTCGGCGTTATCCCACAATGGGGTCTTTCTCAGCAACAAGATACCTATTCCCAACATTGTGGGACTCCTGCCATGCTCCAAAGGAGTTCAAGATGACGGGGTTCTTTGTGATTGAAGTGAGGTTTTGCTTTGTGCCTAAGAAAGGAATAATTTGCAGAGGGTTAGCCTTCAACCCGTGCTGTTCGATAGAGAGCCATCTAACCTCACTACTCTCAGCATGTAACCGAATCCATATCGGACAAAACTGAGATGCCAAATAGTAGCATCTGAAGTTGGGAAGATTTGAAACTCCTTTAGTATATGGGGCTTGCAGGGTAGTAAGTTTAACTCTTTGAGTTTGTTCTGCCACAAAAAAGAAGAGGTAGCTATATTGATCTCTTTAAAAAAGCTCTTAGTGAGATTTTGGGTAATATCATATTTTTATTATCAACATTACATAGATGGTTCATTTTTTAAATATCATGGTTATTGACATTACTTGTCAGTATAAATGTACTAGAAAATATGCTTTGGGGAGTCACTGCATACATATTTTCAACCATGTCTCCTTTGCATCATTCTTGATGTCATATATTAAATGATTTGATTAATATGACTACCACATCCAAAATAGACAATTTCACTGCAGACAACAACATTGTACATACTGTGATTGACTGAAACGTGAACATTTAACATAACATCTGTATTTTAAGAGCAGTTGTTTAAAGTTACATAACGTTGCCAAAAACATATTATTCAAAGTATTTGTGTTGACAGTTGATTGTGTTGCTTTTATATTGTTCACCTCAAGCAAAACTACGTGAATCCATGTCAGTTGTGTGTTAAATAAGTCAACATACTTACTATGTTATTGTTTATCGCATGAAAATGAATTATAGGATGCAGAGGTGTAACTTCACTAGAATAAACAGTCACAGATGGTTGATGAACACTACCACGTTTTTTTTAGCGGACCAAAACTGATTATGAGCTGATCTACTTTTAAGTTATTAAACTTTTATTGTTTGCATATAAAATGTCCAAGTAGAACATAACCTTACACATGTGTGACTTAACATATCTATGTCTGTGTTAAGTACCTCAAGGTGTCACAATTATCTACCAATACCTTGTTTCTAATTATCTCTCTGTCATTTTAGATTCAGCCACCCTCACAAGCCACTAATCACCTCATTCCCTTCACCTGAGTTTACACACACACACACACACACA